TAGAGACGGGGTTTCACCATGTTGACCAGGATGGTCTCGATCTCTTGACCTCGTGATCCACCCGCCTCGGCCTCCCAAAGTGCTGGGATTACAGGCTTGAGCCACCACGCCCGGCCTGCAGCTATTTTTAAAGGAAAATCCAAGCCTATGGATAGAGGGGAAAGATATAAGAAAAACACATACAAAAAAGGAAGAAGAAAATACAGTAGAAACCTACTTGAAGTTTTGCAGTGTAGGGACTACCTATTTATACTATACCTATACAGTGAAGAAGTTGAGGAACTTTAGAATGAAGGCTCCAGGATCTTTGTCGTGTAGCTGCTAAGGTATCATTTGCTAGTCTTTCCTATTATTTTCAGAATATAGCCAGTTCAACAGAACTATGATGATCTGAGCCTAATACTTGTAGGAGAGTAATTTTACTTGTAGCATATTCTCAAGTTGTATTGTATCTCTTCAACTTTCAGAGACTTCCAGTTGATTTTTCCAAAATATATTCCAAAAGATCCTTGAAAAGTATTCCAAATAGAAATAGTTTCTGCAGTTTGTTTCCTTGTTACTCTCTAAAAACATGATCTATTGAGAATAAGGAATTTTTCATTAATATATACTGTCAGTTTTAACTGAGGGATGTTTCTCAAGTTGTAATTCCATGAGTCAACCAGCAGAGGGAGCCATTTGACTAATTATAATTTCATTAATTTCCATTGGTGGGGTTGTTATTGAATTATATAGATATTACATGGCTGGAAATTTGTTGTCTATTGACATTGGACAGCTTAGGGAGAAAAATTGTAACTCACAGCATAGCAATTAAGATTATTGTCTATGGAGACAGGCAAACCTAAGTTTGTGCTTCAGGTATGCCACTTGGCTAATTTGCTTAATTTCTCTGATACTCAGTTTTATGATTTCTAAATTGAGAGCTGTAAAAATATTTTGGTGGCTATTAAATGAGTTAAAGCATTTAAAGCACTTAGCACTGATCTTGGTATATTGTGAGCACTCACTAAATATTAACTTTTAGCAACTTAATCAAGATATTCCCCCATAAAAAGTAAAAGTAGGTATAAAAAGTAATTCACTTATATTCATATAAATAGTCTACCTTAACCTTTATCCCCATGAATAATACATAGTACTGCGTTATAATACATAGTATAATGTTAGTTGTAACTTAATAAAGAATCGTGTTGGTTGGATGGTTGGGTGTGGTGGCTGACGCCTGTAATCCCAGCACTTTCGGAGGCTGATGTTGGAGGATCGCTTGGGGTCTCTTGGGGCCAGGAGTTTGAACCATTTAGTAGAGATGGCAAAACCAGAAATTAACCAGGTGTGGTGGTGCACGCCTGTAATCCCAGCTACTCAGGAGGCTGGGGCACAAGAATTGTTTGAACCTGGGAGGTGGAGGTTGCAGTCAGCCGGCATCACGCCACTGTACTCCAGCCTGGGTGACAGAGTGAGACCTTGTCTCAAAAAAAAAAAGAATCACGATGCATGGTTCGAAAAACACCGGCTCATACTGAGAAAATAATAGAACAAATGCACGATATATTATATATGTCCTAAAAACATTGAAAGTTGCTGGTGTGCCTTCAGAAAATAAAAACAAACCACAAAGAAATAATGAAAACATAAAGGAGGGAAATCAGAAATTTTAAACCAAGAACAGGGAATTCAGTTATAACTCAATTCCTTGTAACCATTTAAAAATGATATAAACAGGCCGGACATGGTGGCTCATTCCTGTAATTCAAGCACTTTGGAGGCCAAGGCGGGCAGATCACCTGAGGTCGGGAGTTCAAGACCAGCCTGACCAACATGGTGAAACCCCATCTTTAAAAAAAAAAAAAATGGTATAAATAGTTGTGTACATGGCAGAATGTTTCCTGGATGTTCATAGACTTTACTGTTTAAACTGTGTAATTATAATTGTTGTTCTATCAAACAATAGACACAAACCAAGACTGCTGCCCTGGGCAAAATGGGCTATATAATCATCCTAACAACATCTTAAGTGAAAAAAACAGCCTGTACTTCAATGTGTGATTCATTTTTAGGAAATACATTTTTTAGAAAAAGTCTAGAGTTAATGTGGTTTTCAAAATCTAAAATTTATTTAATTCACTGGGCGCAGTGGCTCACGCCTGTAATCCCAGCACTTTGGGAGGCTGAGGTGGGCGGATCACCTGAGGTCAGGAGTTCAAGACCAGCCTGACCAATATGGTGAAACCCCATCTTTAAAGAAAAAAAAAAAAATTAAAATTTATTTAATTCAACAGGTATTACACACCCATTTTACGTTAAAATATTGGGATTGTGATTTCCAAATGAGGAAATTGAGTGGTTTTTTTTTTTAAGTTTCTGCTATGAACATGTATTATTTTTTAATGAGGAAAAGTGTTATCTTCTTTGTAAATTTACCTGTGGTAGTCAAGGCAATTAGAATCTGTTTTTGTTGTTGTTGTTGTTGTTGTTGTTGTTTTGAGACAGAGTTTTGCTCTCGTTTCCCAAGAAACAGTGATGCGATCTCAGCTCATTGCAACCTCCGCCTCCCAAGTTCAAGCGATTCTGCTGCCTCAAGCCTCCAAAGTAGTTGGGATTACAGGCACCTGCCACCATGCCCAGCTAATGTTTTATATTTTTAGTAAAGACAGGGTTTCACCATGTTGGCCAGGCTGGTCTCGAACTCCTGACCTCAGGATCCTGATCCAGCCACCTTGGCCTCCCAAAGTGCTGGGATTACAGGGGTGAGCAACTGCACCCAGCCTTATTTTTATTTTTTAATATTGCTTTTACATTATCTGAATACTTGAACTGTATCACTGAAAATGAGTCATGATCATGATGGCTGGTTCAAGTATGACAGTATTTACAACTAATTGATCACAGCTAGTTACAGATTTCTTTGTTCCTTTTCCACTCCCCCTACTTCACTTGACTAGACTAAAGACATTTTTTTAGTTAGGAGAATTTGGTCTTTTTGTTGGTCTCTCTCCCCCTCCCTCCCCGCCCCCCCAGTTTTACTTCTCTCTATAAAATGTCATCCGTCAAGAGCAAAATAAATCACAAAAGTTATTTATAAGTAGAAAAGAGAGATGCCTGGCAAGATTTTGGTAATTTGAAAGACGTGTTTATAGATTAATGAAATGGATGTTAGTTTCAGAACTGTCTCTCTCTCAACCCAAGTAGAGGATGTAAAATGATCAGTGAGTAGTGACACAAACTTTTTTTTTAAATATAAGTTTTAAAAATATAAGTATAGATGTTGTTTAAAACTTTTATGGAATTAGAGGACATTAAGAAAGTACTGGCCAGGTGCGGTGGCTCACATCTGTAACCCCAGCACTTTGGGAGACCAAGGCAGGCCAACTCCTGACTTGAGGTCAGGAGTTCAAGACCAGCCTGACCAACATGGTGAAACCCCGTCTCTACTAAAAAACAAAAAAGAAAGTACTTTGGAGGCCAGATGTGGTGGCACACACCTGTAGTTCCAGCTACTTGGGAGGCTGAGGCAGGAGGATTGCTTGAGCCCAGAAGTTGGAAGTGAGCCTGGTCAACAGTGAGATCTCATCTCTAAAAATTAAAATTAAAATAAAAGAAGAAAGTCCTTTAAGTAGCTTTATTGAGGGATATCTCTGCTTTTAAAAAAATAAATAAATACATTTTCGAGATAGGATCTCGCTGTGTCAACCCAGGCTGGAGTGCAGTGGCATAGTCGTGGCTCACTGCAGCCTCAGTCTTCTAAGCTTAGCCAATCCTCCCATCTCAGCCTTCCCAATAACCGGGACCACAGTTGTGTACCACCATGCCCAGTTAATTTTTAAAATTTTTTGAAGAGCTAAGGTCTTGCCACGTTGCCCAGGCTGGTCTTGAACTCCTGAGATTACAGTCATGAGCCCCGGCATCCAACCTCTGTGCTTTTTTGTCATTGAAATGTTTTAATGAAATTTTTAATTAAACAACAGTGAAGCCAAGCACAGTTGCTTATGCCTGTAATCCCAGCACTTTTGGAGGCCTCGGTGGGCTGTTCAGCTGAGGTCAGGAGTTCAAGACCAGCCTGGCCAACATGGTGAAACCCCATCTCTACTAAAAATACAAAAATTAGCTGGGAGTGGTGGCACACGCCTATAATCCCAGCTACTTGGGAGGCTGAGGCAGGAGAATCGCTTGAACCCAGGAGGCTAAGTTTGCAGTGAGCCAAGATTGTGACATTGCACCCCAGTCTGGGCAACAAGAGTGAAACTCCATCTCAAAAAAAAAAAAAAAGAAAAGAAAAAAATATATACAAAACAATGGTGAATGATTTTAATGCTGTTCATTGATTAAATAGCTGGCAATTTTATATGGATCCCCCCTTTCTGGTTTTTTTTTTTTTTTTTAATTTTCTGGTCTAAGAAAGTTAAAAACCTTAAAATTATTTATTCATAAGTAGTTGCTCTTTAAGGAGCAACTATTAATAAAATGTGATCAGTTTTGTTGAGTTGCTGCCAGCCTTATGTTTCTATGGTAAAGACTAAAATGAAAGAATAATTTGGAGTCACTTCACCATTCCGTTATAATAAGTTTTTCTTAAAATTACTCTGAAAATGAGGTTATGTTTTTAGCCAGCAGTGTCTTAAATCCTGGCAGTTTCTTAACAGATAAGAATTGTTTTAAAGGATTTTTTCTTAATTATAAAAATAGAAAATAACAAATTAAAACTACTTCATCGTTCCTTGACTCAGAATTAACCACTGTTAATTGCTGAGTCTTATTTTTCTCTGTGTGTCTGTATGTGACAGGCATTGTACATAATAAATATAGTATATGGTGTTGTAACTCGCTATTTTTTCACCATTCAACTCTTTCTGGACAATTCTCCCATATCTTTAAACTTTTTTCACAAATATAATTTCTAATGGCTGGATATATTTCTGTTCTTCCATCGAGATGACCTTGAGATGAATGCCAAATAGTAAATATTTTAAATTCTACAGGCCCAATGGTGTCTATTACAAACTACTTAACCCTGCCGTTGAACACAAAAGCAGCCTTAAGCATGACAAAAACAAATGAGCATGACTGTTTTAATAAAATGTTATTTATAAAATGGGCATGGGCCAATCCTTGACATAAAACTTCCTAAGCTTACGTTTTGCATCTTATAGAAAAAAAGCGACAATTTGAAATGAAAAGGAAGCTTCACTACAATGAAGGACTTAATATCAAACTAGCTAGACAATTAATTTCAAAAGACCTACATGATGATGATGAAGATGAAGAAATGTTAGAGACTGCAGATGGAGAAAGCATGAATACGGAAGAATCAAATCAAGGTTAGATGTTTCAAAATGTCACTGAGACTTTTGTAATGCTGTTCCTGGGATAATATACTTTATTTTGCTTTAAACTTGTAAAAAAAAAAAAAAAAAAAATTTTGCTGAGGTTCACTTTGTAATACCAAATGTTTCTAAAATGTTAACCGCCGTGGCCAATTTCAGAATAATAAAGTTGTTATACCCAGAGTTGATTTGATTTTAGACCTTATGTTTTGTTATATGGCTTTTTTTATGGTTTACTTGCCTTTAGGCAAGGATGTTTGTCTTCATATTAAGCTATATTTTGTTTTGAATGTTTCAGGTCATGTTGCATTTGTCATAAGATCTAAAGTTTAAAAAGTTTTAAAGGAAACACGTTTTTAGTATGGAAGATTTGTTTTTACATCCCTTTAGTTACAAAGTATGTCATAGCTTTCCAATGCTTTTGCTTTTGACTGTTGGATTGACAAGTTATTTGGCTGTTTTTATTTTGTTTTGTTTTAAAGTCTTGGACACCCAATCCCCGCAGCCTAGCAACTCCTGATCTGTCATAGGAAATAGGTTTTATTTTTTAGGAACTGTTATTCTGGTATCTAATGAAGGTGAATCTTCTGCACCACTAATGAAGATTTTTTTTAAAAAATGCCAGCTACCTACTTCTTGTACTTAAAACTTCATGCTTTTTAATGGAGGTGTAACTTGTTTTATTTGTGGTGCCTAGAATGGTTAAATGTTAGGAAAGTATATAATTGTCACCATTTTGGTAAGCATAGTATGAAATATGAATAATTCTATGATACAGCTTGATGAATCACTGTCTCATAGTGTCAGGATTACAATACTTTGTTATTCTATAATATGTTTTAGCCTTTTAGTCTATTTCATATAGCCTTTCATTTCCATTATATATTCTATTGTCTTTTGAACTTATGTTTAACTTGAGCAAACTTCATCTTAAGTAGTAGCGGTTACATGTTTCTCTTCTTTATTTAAAATCTGTTATCTACTTTTATTTTCATTTTTTATTTGTTAAAGAGGCAGAGTGTCACTGTGTTGGCCAGGCTGGTCTGGAACTCCTGGCCTCAAGCATTTCTCCTGCCTCAGCCTCCCAAAGTTCTGATATTACAGCTGTGAGCCACCATGCCCAGCCTGTTCACCATTTGTAAATTACCTAGCTCCTAATTGCCCTGAGGTCTGTGTTTCCCATTTTAGCTGTATGTTGATGATTTCTTTAGATGTATTCAACTAAATGTTTCTTTGATTATAGCTTTTCCGCAACTTTTCCTCAGATTTTCAATATCAGCTCTTAGGAACTAGGAATACATTTCATTTGCTGCTGGAAATTTGCACCAGTACTGCTATCACTGTGCCAGTTTAAAGGTTTTTGTGGTGGTGGTTGTTTTTTTTCTTCTTTTTTTTTTTTTTTTTTAAATAACTGGCATTTTGACCATCTCTGCTTATAAGGTATTACATTTCACACATTTAGTACATAAATATATTTCTTTGTTTAAGTTTAATAGAGAATTAAAATTTTATATTCGCTCAGTGTCTGATTTTTCTTCACTGGAGATGAAGTACACCTTTCAAAGGAGTATATCCTGCTTAGCATTATAAAACCCACAAGAATAGGATAAGACTTAGGGAAATTAGTACCTTATTTATCCCCTACCCTTTTTGGGCCCTTAACATTTTAACAGATTTTAAAGTCCCCAAGTTCTGTAGAACCCATTTGTTTTTGGGCAATGGCAGCCTCTTCCCTTGGCCCTTTTTTCCCCCCATTCACACATTTCATTGGAGAAAAATGACATGGAGGACTCTGAGGTAATATTTTATAGCTTTGAGGTAATAAATGTAAATCTTTTTATAGCTCTGGATATTTGAGTTGTCATTAACAATTACCTTTCCACTTGTGACTTACAGACAGACATGCTCAACCTGAAACCTGTTTGTTTTATCAGCAAGTAGACACTTCTGTTCTTTAGAATATTTAGGGGAGTATACAGATTCTTCCATTTCAGTCTAAATCAGCCTACATGAAATATACCTTATTTGTTTTAAATTTTTATATTTGCTTATCATCCATGCTAGTAGAAGAGAACTTCAGCCAGGGTTGACAATATATAACAAATTATGTTGACTTTTCTTTTATCTTTTCAGGGTCTACTGCAAGTGACCAACAGCAAAACAAATCACAAAGTTCATAGAAGAGATCATGCAACACTGCAGTTGTTTGTTAAATATAAACCCTGTGACTATAATACATTGCTTCTTGTTCTCCACAAGTCATGACCTTAAGTACCAAAATGCATACCAGTTATTATATATTGCCAAGAATTAAATGATAACCCTAGAGACTGATTAGACTGAAAATGCCTAATTGATATATATATTCTTGTGCCTAGTACTTTACCACAAATACAGTATAATATCATCAGTCCAAAACTGCATTACTTTTGTAAAAACACTGGTTAATTTGTAAAAGATATTATATAGCTTTTTATGCTTTAGAGGTTAAACAATATCTTTGGGGGGGGAACTAATTTATTTTCATCATTCTTAATGTGGTGGTAGCTCTTATAAAGTTTGTTGATTTGTTGTTTTTTTTTTAATCAAAAGCCAGTTGAACAACAGGATATATAGACTGATAAATATTCAGGCTGAATGGTATTTTAAAACTTGTCTTCAACTTGATTTGTCTGTTTAATTGAAAAGGATTATAAGAGTTACTGTTGCATTTTCTGACCTGCTACCTTTAAAATTCCTGTTGCACTTCTTCGTATTTACAGGGAAAGGACTGAACTTTTTCTCATTGAAACTAGCTTTTTTCCCCCATGAATAAATTATCAGGTTAAACTTGCACTAATGTCTGCTCTGTTTTTTGTTTTTTAATGTTTTTGGTACACTGGGCAGACTTCAGAGCGGTTTTTTAAAAAATAAATATTCTAGTAGCTGTCTTAGCATTCCCTTTATATACCTGTCTTAACCTCCTGCTTTTATTTCCTACTCCTTTCCACGCGTACACACACAATCCTTTATCTTTTAAAGGATCATTAAGGTTGTCAAGACATTAGGAACCCTTTCTCTCACTCTTCTGTCATTTGCTGCAATATTGAAATTCTTATTTTGACCATCAATGCCTATTAATTATTTAATACATGAAGAAAATAGATTGAGTTAGCAGCAGTACTGTAGGTGGGAAATACAGTTTGATGAATTTCTAACCTCTCTGATTTGCAGCTTGCTAATTAAATTGCTATTTGTTTGTTTGGCTTAATTAGACTTAAGAAAACAACTAACTGAGGGGTGTTTTTGTTTTTTGAGGGTGTTTTTTTTTTTTTGCATGAGGAGAGAATTATATGTAACCAGTGATATGATTATTCCTGAATGTACAGACAGAAGTAAGCCTGGACATTATTTAATTTAAAAACTTTAGTCCCTCCTTTAAGGGAATAAGATAATGTATGCTATGACAAATGTACTTTATTCTTCTAACCCAGTAAGAATTACTTGGAATTTTTTTCTGAAATGAAGTTCAGGAAAGCCTGTGTTTCTTGTTTTAGCGATGGTTTCATTTCTAGCCATACAATTCATGGATTGTATACAATTTTTGTTAGTACCAAAATAATCTGTTATATAAACAGACTTCTAAAATAATTTCTGTATATTATATATATAAGAAGGCTTTTATTGAACAGCTTATCTTCCACTTGCAAGTTTATGGAAATATCAATATGTCAAAATAAATAAAAAGTGGGAGAATTCTTTGCTGTTAGAAGAATGTGCTTATATTTTGATTTTTTTAAATGGGATATAATCAGAGTACTGCTGAACTATAAGTGTAGTATTCTACTAAACATTTCAGCTAGTATACCACTGATTTAGAAACAAAACTGTTTATCTCTGCTTTCTGAATTTAGAATGTTGGGATTGCCTGATTAAATCTGTTTTGGGGGATGTAGAGATTAAGTCTATACGTATGTGTGCACATATATTCATGCACCCTCTGATTTTGGTTTTCTTGTTTTTGAATTCTTAGAAAGCATCCACATACTTTTTTTTTTTTTTTTGTAGAAGTAGCTGCTGTAGAGTGAAGAAAAGGATAAGACTTTAAACAGTTGATTCTTTTTGTGTTTTCTACAAACTATTTTTTGAAATTTAAATCACAAGCAAACTCACTTTGTGGTTTTTAGAAACTAGATGATAATTTCAGAGGAGTAAGCCATGCCATATGCCAAACAGCATGCTCAGTGGGATTTTAAGTAGTCAAATGCAGCTGAGAAAAGGAATTTTCAAGTAATAAGTTGCTAATTGACATGGTATGAACTAGTCAAAATATAAACCATTATGATTCAAGTTAGATTTTCTTCTAGAGAGATGGAGCTGAATGTTCAGTTCTAGCCAAGGTGGATTTTACTTTCAACTTTTTTGTTTTTATTTTTTTTGTGGGAGGGGGTTTGTTTATTTTGAGATGAAGTTTCACTTTGTCATGCAGGCTGGAGTGCAGTGGTTAGATCTCGGGCTCACTGCAACCTCTGCCGCCCTGGTTCAAGTGATTCTCCTGCCTTAGCTTCCCACGTAGCTGGGATTACAGGCTCCTGCCACCGTGCCCAGGTAATTTTTGTATTTTTAGTAGAGATAGGGTTTCACCATCTTGGCCAGGCTGGTCTTGAACTGACCTTGTGATCCACCCACCTTGGCCTTCCAAAGTGCTGGGATTACAGGCGTGAGCCACTGCGCCCGGCTTACTTTCAACTCTTGAATCAATATCACTTTCTGTGCTTAACTCTGGTGTTACCTTGTCTGTTTTCATTTGTCTAAAATTCTGCAAGGATGACTAAAATTTGACATAATGGTATAAATGGATTGTTAAGGGTAACTTTAAGTTGAAGATTAAAACAAGATCCCATTTTCCACATGACTTTCATTTTGTTTACATTTTTCCCTTTAAGTTAGTATACACTACACATACTGTAATAAAATGTAATATGACAGTTGCCTGTGTGTGGATTTTATTTTATTGCTACTCAGCTATCTCAAGACCATAATCCATTGGCCAAGTGTTCCGGATACCAGGAGTAGATCTTGGATTACGTTGTGGCAGAGCAATTTGTTTAGTCATAGTAGAAATGATAAGAGCTACCATTTATTGAGGACCCATTACTTGCTGTTGCCCAGCTTTGTGCTCAGTCCCTTACATCTAATCCCCAAAACTGCCTCACAAAGCAGACATTCTTATCTACACTTTATAAGTGAGGAAAATGCTCTTAGCCAACTTATTTATTAATAGTTTTAGTGCCTCACACATGCTAAATGACAGAATTCAAATCCAAATCTAACAAAATTTCATGGTCTTTATTCATGCTTTTTTAAATGTAGAAAACATTTTAGAAATTATACCTTGCAAATAAGTTTATATGGATTATTGATACATAACTATGCTGTAGGAGTAGCATTTTTCAGGTGTTTGAGTTTCTGAGTTTTTTTTTTTAATCTGAAAAATTGGAACTAATTTTGTTTGCAGTTTGTGTGCCTTCTAGGAAAAATTGCTCAAAAGCACAAATAGTGGCTGGAGATGAATGCATGTCATTTGGTTGTGCTCTGCAAGTTTGTTAGCAGGCTGTTTCAAGCCCAGAAAACTATTTTTTTCGTAGAATTCGTGTTAGCAAGTCAAGGACCATGCCAGCAAGTCAAGGACCATGCCAGCCTATAAAAACCGACATGAACCTAAACAAGAATTTCCCAGCGTGTTCCATGAAACCCTTATCACTCAAGATGTTCCATGAAAATGATACAATAAGTAAGCTTTACACATACTGTGTACTTTATTCCCAACCCCCCTTGGAGACTTAGGTACATTATTATCATAATAAAGAGTCTGAGCAGTCCTGCTTATAAGCACCTATTTAAAACTTAGCTTTACCTTTTTCAAACATATTTCGCTGTAACCACCCCACTTTGTCCATCAAATAACATCTCAAGTAGGGCAATAGGCTAGGGTCTCTAATATAGCAAACTTGGACTTGTTTTTAAAAAAGGAAGAGAATGGTTTATCAGTGAAAGAAGGAAGATGGTAGTAGTAACTGCAGATATTGATGGTCTGTATACAGTTTGCCAAACATAAGGTTTTAGTTTTTGTAACTTATGCAAGGAACTGCAAAATATATATTCAGGACAGATGAAGGTGTAGTTGTGGTTGGTTATAAGTTGCAGTGGTTTGTACTGATAGAACTATTATTCCAAAGACTTGCTGCACTAAGCCCTTTTCTGGAATGCCTTGTACTCACTATCAACTCTGCATAGCTGCTTGGCAAGAGCACGTCTGCTACTTAGGAAAATAGAAGAGCAGAAAACAAGTGTCTCTGGTCTATGGCTCATACCCACAAACTTGGTTACTCCAGCAAAGTGGTTTTGGGATTTGACTCATCTGGTTTTTTATTTGAGGAATTATTTGGGGGAGGTAATGCTGAGAGTAGGTAAGTGAGGGTGGATTTGGCAAGTGTTTAGTCATGATTTTATCTCAACTGCCCAACCTGAAATTTTCGGTAAAGTCTGCCAAGTGTTTAGCATTTCAGTTCTATTTCCAATGAGAATTGTTGCAGTTGGAAGATGACTCCTGTAAATTGTTTCTATCTGTTTAATTGTGTGTGGATTGTGGATTGATGACAGTGTTGACTAGAAATAGAAGAGGATTGTGCAGGCTGATTTTTTATACCTTATATCATTTGACCTAACTTATTAAGCAAAGAGGATTATAAGCAGCTTTTCAGTATGCCTTGTTCTAATATAATGGTTCAGTCTGAAAAAGTGCTACCGATAATAGAGCTAGTGAACGTAGGAAGAAAAGTTATTTTGTTTAGTTAGACTCCTTCGTCTCACAAGTATCCCTACATTAGCAATTACGTAGAGTCAGAATACTATATTTTTATCTCCCTATGTAAAAGACACTCCCAATTGAAAAATAAGCAAGCACTTTATTGTAGAGGACTGTGCCAAGCTAAATTGGGAAATATTAACATAAGATTCTTTCCCTGCCTTTAAAGAGTTTCAAGCTTAGGTGTGTAGAGCAGAGAGAGAGCGCGCTGCTTTGCAAGAACAAGGAAGGAATAAGAATACACCCATCCTGGCTGGGCACGCTGGCTCATTCCTGTAATCCCAGCACTTTGGGAGGCCGAGGCCGGTGGATCACGAGGTTAGGAGTTTGAAACCAGCCTGGCCAAGATGGTGAAACCCCATCTCTACTACAAATACAAAAAATAGCCAGGCACAGTGGCAGGTACCTGTAGTACCAACTACTTAGGAGGCTGAGGCAGGAGAATCCTCTGAACTCAGAAGGTAGAGGTTGCAGTGAGTCGAGATTGCGCCACTGCACTCTAGTCTGGGTGACAGGGCAAGACTCCATCTCAAAAAAAAAAGAATACACTCATCCTCCGCAGCCATTCTCAGGAGGCCTTTCTGATAGTTAGACTGAGAAAAGTAGGCCAGCAAGACATTGCTATTAAGAGTTTTATATGGATTTTCTTAATACCAAATTAAGATCTCTGATATGGTTTGGCTCTGTCCCCACCCAAATCTCACACTGTGTTGTAATCCCATGTTGGGGGAGGGACCCAATGGGAGGTGATTGGATCATGGGGGTGGATTTACTTTGCTGTTCCTGTGATAATGAGTGAGTTCTCAGGAGAGTTGTTTCAAAAGTGTGTAGCACTTAACCCTTTTCTCTCTCTCCTGCCACCATGTGAAGAAGGTGTTTGCTTCCCCTTTGCCTTCCACCATAATTGTAAGTCTCCTGAGGCTGCCCAGTCATGCATGTTAAGCCTGTGGAAATGTGAGTCAATTCAATCTCTTTTCTTCATAAATTG